ACAAGGCGTACTTGTTGAAATCACAGAAATATTACTAGATTTCGGGGTTTCCAATGCTAGTAAATCATGTGGCTCATGAGTTATAGTTATTTCTGTACTTGCCCGTATGTCAGTAGTTGCTACAATAAACAAATGAACAGCATTTTTTTCAACAATATGTTGTACTTTAGCATTAGGACGACAAGATCGCCTCACAAATCTAGCTTCATTGCCATAAGTTCTGCAGTCAATACAGATTTTTTGGCCTTGCAATTGAGTTAACGTTGATCCTTCAATTGTATGATCTTCTACATTTGGTAGGTGATAAAAAAATACAAACGGACCAGGAGTTTTATGCACCTTATTCAGTGGATTAGTTGTTACGGGTGGATCATTTATATATGCATGACTGTTTTGACTTATAAATTGCTCTTGAAGCATACATTTTCCCAGCAACTCAACAATTGGCGAATTAGATTTTATGTCTTGATTACTTATCAATATCTTACCACCAGCAAATGGTACTATTGTAGCTTTACTTTCGAAATTTCGATAGTCTTTCAACAACTCATTGCTCTTCATATTTATGGCCTGCATTATACTTGGAACTTTTGTCAAGGAATAAATTCGCGCTCTCAACTGTTGAGAGTAGTGGTTCGTCATGGCATGTTCATAATGCTCTATTAAATTACTCATATGATTGGATTGTTTAACTGGATGTGCACTATTTTCTGTTGTTTTGGACTTGCGTTTGGTATTTTTCTTTGCTTCTTTGCGAATATTTTTGCCACTAGAAAATACTTCACCATTTTTATCTCTTTTGAGTTTTTTAACGCCAGTCTCCTTTGTTTTCTTAAGAACCTTACCCTTTTTTAACACTCCACTATTCTTACTATTTTGCAAGGTATCCTTCTGTGATATATTAGCACCAGGTCTATTTATATTCTCATTAAAATGCATTTTTGAAGCAGCAATAACACCTGCAGCATCTACTAAAGTAGATACGCCCGATTGCATGGAAAGTGCTTGCTCTTTGCGTATCATTAATTGTATTTGACGAGCACGTACTTTATCTACAGGCCTTGGTTGACATATTTCACACAAATATTCTTCAGGAATATTATGTCTTTCAATACCCATGCAATCCACATGTTGCCATGCACTGTAATTAAAAATAGTTCATTTAAAAAAATAATTTCTATAATAAAAACGCATACAATATTTACAAATATATTTAAATGATATTTGTTATACTTACGAGCACTTATCACAACAAATCATGTAACCATCATCATGGGTCAAATCACATATACAACGAGTTAAAGAGTCATCTTCCGCTTCAGCTTCTGGCGCCGTCTCTGTTTCTTCTCCAGGGTCTATATCACCAGTTGCAACTCGTGAACCATTACTTATAGCTGAATGTGCGTCATCGTCTTGAGGCTGCCTCGTTACTGTTTTAACAAATAGTTTTTTTAAATTAACATTTTTATTACAAAAAAAAAAAAAAAACGCAAAAAAATAAAAAAAACTAAAAAACTAAGATTTTACTTACTCTGTTGTCCATATAATGAATATACTGATGGCGTTCCGCTTGAAGTCGACGTTAGAGAATTGGGTACAGTTATTACTGTAATATCACTAGGTGCGTTATTTGCAGATGTAGCACTGATTCCTCCCAATGTCCAATTATTTGATACTGGATTAGCAACCAATGATGAGCTTGGTTGTGCTTCTATATGTCCACTATTGCTAACAGTTTTATGTAATGTACTGCTATTAGCATTATTGTTCACAGCTTCCGTTGTTAAACGTGTCGGCGCTGCATTTGCATAGGTATGATCAAGCCACACCGCATGTAAACAATGTAATTTTACATCATCTGTAATGGGCAATGGTCTTACTTCTTCACCAATAATATCGTCATCCTGAGATAAGTTTGCTGTAGTATTAGCACTGTAACTATTAGTCGATATAAGAGTGGTATCAGTATTCTGCTTAATTGACTGTATAAAAGCAACTGATTCTGTTGTTGGTAGAGCCCCAACGCTTAATCCATTAAAATTATTATTGTTTCGATAGACAGGCGAACTGGCGTTGCTAAAAAAAAAATAGAATAAAGAAGATGAAAATAAAATTCTTAAAAAATATTTTATAATACTACTAATACTAATACTACTTTATCATTTAGGATACAAAATTATTGGCTTTAAAAGGACATACATATTAACAGTAATATAGTAAAAAAATTAAATAATTATCCATGAAAAACTAAAATAATGTACATATATACAAAACTTCTAAAAATATTTTTACTAAATTATATTTAAAATGTTTTAATTTGTCTCTTTTTAGTTTTAATCCTTAGTTTCTTCAAATTAAATTATACAGACTCTAAAGTATTGTTACCTAACTTTTTGAGGCCAACGCCCCAAAGAAGCAATTCAAAATTAGGTCTTTAAAAATTTACATCTAAATTTTTCTCCAACAATTTTTTATTAAAACAATTTACTCAGATATCAGCGGCAATGGAGATTATGTTAACCAAGGTGGGCTAGTTTTATTAAAGTTTTTTAATATTATCAATAATTCAATTCAGCATCTATAATATATAATTTACTTTCTACCTATAAAACAGCAAAAACTTAATTTGTCTGCTATGGGCTTTCTTGATTTTGCTGGTAGTCGCTGGAGCCGCAAGAAAGTTTCTTACTCATAAAGAAATATATTATTGCTTTGAGTATTATTTGATTATGCTTGTAGTTGGGATCTTTGGCTCGAGTATAAAGAGCTTCGTGAAAACTAATGGACACGATTGGTGTTCGAAGATTTACTGTTACTGTTTGTAGGCACACATGATGAAATTAAAATGAAACATTGAGTAGATCCTTAAAGTGCACACACAGTTTGCAGTTAAATGCATTGGGAACATTGGTTGCCAACTGATAGTCCGCAAGTTGGTTAACAATGTTCCGTGAATCAAATTTTACACATATAGATACATAGCTTGTAGTTTGTTCACTGAGTCCTCACTTATTAGAAAACACAAAAAATTTCCATGTAACTATACACCTATTTTAGAGCCTATATAATGTACCTATGCACTTATACAATTCATTATATATTATACCAATAATGCTTAAAGCATATTAAAATAATCTTATTAATCTTGTATATTTATTTATTGTGCTCAAACTGGAGCTTTGTCACTGTTATGCCCGCATAACCAAATCATGGTTACAAAGTCATGCTCTCAGTATATTGTACAATGATGCGATATCCAGACAAAGCAACAGAAGCTGGAGTTTTGAGCACAAAGAAAAATATGCAGATTCTTAAACTTTGTGGTCCCTTATAAAGAGAAAAATATCATAGTGATCTCATTGGTTAAAAAAAAGCTTGGGTACTACTGCCCTAGAAAATAAGTGTATTATTTCTTATCAAAATTAGTTTATATTGTCGATTAATTTAAAGTTACTTTCTCATTAAAACTCATCAATAACTGAGACTATCTCATCTCTACTTAAATTGTGATAATTATAAGAAAAAATTCTCCTTTCTTACCTGTTTTTGATGAACTCAGTTGCCCTTTTCGCAGAATTCGTATCAAGTTGTTTCCGTTCTAGTGATTGTGATCTATTGACAGAGGTACTGTGATTTTTTTCTGCGTTTGCATTTGATAAGGAAATTGACGGCGCTGAATTGCTAGCAACATTTGTTATTAATGTCTTCGCAGAGATAGGCATGTAAGAATTTTGTTGTTGGGAATTATAAGTAGAAAAATCGTTCGGAGACAAGACAATATTTGTACTGCCCGGCGAGTTCTGTATTATATAATGGGGTTGTGACTGCGATGGCAATACTTTGAGTTTTTGCTGATGATGTTGTGCTTGTTGCTTATTAAAATGTTTTTGGGCCATACTTTGTAGAATGCGCGCAGACATCTCATCGGTCATATCGAGTTCTGTCTGATAGTTACTGATTGCAGAAGATGCATTATTCGTCACTGTATTATTTTCACGTTGTATACAGACAGGCGTCTCCAGAAACTGTTGGCGATATTTTTGACTATGCTGTGAGCTAGGATGTGTTTGATGTTGTTGTATAACAGCACCTTGTGAATTAACATACTTAATGTTACTATTGGAAGCGCTTGAATTACTATTGCCACCAACTATCGAATTTGGAAGTATTTGCTGTTGTACAACAATATTACTTTGTGGCTGTGTAGCCTGCATAGTTTTATGTTGTAGTTGCGTACCCTGCGGTAATGTAGCAACATGTTGCGGCTGATTTTGCATTATAAATTTGTTGTTAGTCATTTTAGTAACTTTAGTTGTCGCATTATTTTGATTACTGCTATTTAATTTATTTGAGTTTATCGTATAGGTACCAAAACTCTGCTGCAGTGGCAATGTTGCAATTGAGACTCCGCCACCAGTGGTATTGCCTAATTGTTTAAGTAATTTAGTTTTAGTGATTTTATTATTGTTATTTGGATGGTATTGATAGGCTTGCTGAGCTATAAACGTTTTTACAGTGCCTTGTTGCTGTGTATTATTAGCGGATATTTTATTCTGACAACTTTTATTTACATTCTTCTTTATAATATTACCAATCTTTGGTATATTACTGCTGCTAGCAGTTACATATTTGTGTGACTGAGATACCACATACGGATGATTTGTTGATGGTTGTTGTGTGATATTGTGATTGGTGTTATTTGTGGCTTGTTGTACAATGGTCGGCATACGTGAAATCACTTTCGTTGGCACATTTACCTTATGCACCACATGCTGCGGTGTTTGCTGGACAAATGTACCTGTCGTTTGTATTTGATTCTTGACATTTGCATTTTTCGTAGGAAATTTTTTACCATTCAATTGAGCTGTATTTCCTCCGCTAATGTATGGTATATTTTTCGTACCTACAAAATTTATAGTTTGCGGTTGCTGATTATTTTGTGGAGTTGGCAATACGCTGATATTATTTGCATTTGTGGCATTTCCTACTTGCTTTGGCAACATCGTTATATTACCAAGCAACATTTTAGAATTCGTTGATGCATCTATAAACATTTGCCGACTCTCTATACCACCTGCACCATCTGTACTCACTATTTTAAAAATTTGATTTGATGCAAAATCCGCTGTTGGTACTATAATATTAGATGTTGTAGCAGCATTAGGTTGTTCGCTTAATTGTAACATTTGAGTTATTCGTTGATGATTATTTTGTGTGGATTGATTGTGTGGTAATGCAAAATTCTGCGACATAGTTGGCTTATTAATATTAAACTGATTTTTATTAGGCGTATGGGTTACACTTACATTATCCAGAACGATTGCATGATGATGCTGAAGAGGCGGATCAGTTGGCTCGTAATATTCGACATATTGAATTTCGTGATTTGGTTTTTGCTTTTGCTGTTGAGTTGCTATTGATGGAGGTTTTTCAACAACGATTATGCCTGATTGCAACATAAGGACTACAATGCTGCTTCAAAGCGAATTTAATTATAAATGAGTTTTAATTTTTTTTTTTTTTGCAAAGATTTTTTTTTAAAGGTTTTTATTTATTACTTTTACTTTGAACTTGTTATTCAGCTTTACTTAACTATTAGTAACAGAAGTTCTGGCGGGCCCACAAAATCGTGGGGCCTTAATCTATAAGAAAAATCCGATGTATCGTAACAATAACTAACAGCATTATAAGCCATCACATTAAATAACATTACTAATATTGTAATTATGTATAATGGTAAGTTCTTGTATTATTATTCCCTGTTTCCTTCGCTTTATTTGTTTTCTTTTTTTTTTTTGTTTTTTGTTTTTGATGGACCGCAAGTGGACTCAACTTCTTCTTAACACAACTTCAATACTTTTCTCACTTTCAATTACTTTCCAAAAATAAAACAACTGTAAAAGAGAAAAAAATATATAATTATTAGTTTTAAGTTATGATATTAATGTAATATATAATTATAATTTTTGATTGAATTAACTGTCAAAGTAATTTAAATATTTTTGTAATTTAAAAAATGTATTTTTCAAGTTTTAAATATTTTATATAAATGAAATAAATTTGAAAGCAGATTCCTGGAGAGATTGAATATGAAAATCGTAATATCAAATTTTAGCAAAACAAAATACATAAAATATTATTGATTTCGATTGTTTGTGTTGTTTTCAGATTGTTTTCCTCCCAGTATTTTTACTTCGGCATCCGAAGTTATTTCTTTAAAATCTTAATAAACGCTAAAAACTATTAAACATTACTAACCCAAATCAACTGGCTATATAAACAATTTATGTTAATATTTTTTTGTTTAATCACATGTAGATACAATTTCGAAATTGTTGAAGTCTCCGGCTACACAACCAAAAGTTACGTAATTTTTTCTGAACATGCAGTATAAAATTATTTGTATATAAAACAATTTTTAAACAGCGAAGCAATTATTGCGATAAAACGCAGAGATGGTATAAGACAAAATTGTGAAAAAAGTAAATAAAAAAAAATACCAAAAACAATCTAAAAAATAAAATTAATGTATATAAACAAAATACAAAAAACACAGATAAAAATTTGACATTTCGATATGTGGAATCGACGTTTTAGAGCGCATGCACCAGACCAGATAGATAGAAAAGCACCAAAACTCAATAATACAAAACTGAAAGAATTGCAATTTCGTAAATATTTATTTATTCAATTTAAAAAGAAAAAAATATACAACAACATATTAAAAAATATATTCGCTTGGTATGCTTAAATAAACAACAATAAAATTAAACGAAAGAGAATATATTACTTAAAGTCAATTTAAATTTATTAACACTAGAACCATTGCAGCAGCAGCAGTGTATTTAACGTCATGATGCCTTTCATCAACACAAGTACATATAATAAATGGAGTGACGGAGGATAGGTGATAATTTATATGACGTTGAAGAAATTTCATCAGTAATATTGGAAGAAAGACAATATAACCAGAGTTACCAATTCCAATCAATATCAACAGTGAACCAGATTGAATGAAATGTGTATATTGCAGTGAGAACAAAGTGAGAACTACTGAAGAAAGTCAAACACTTCATTTTGACAATATATATATATATATATAAATACCTTATTTACTTATAAAATAT